TGCAACAGCAGCCAGGCCTGGGCTGAGCTGAAGCCAAAGCTGGGAACTCAATCCCAGGGTCCTGTGTGGCGGAAACGGCTGAACTGAGCCCTCAACTGCTGCCTCCCAGGGTGTACATAACCAGGAAGCAGGAATTAGGTGCCGAGCCAGGATTCAAATCTAATATGCGATGTGAGTATCCCAAGGTCGTGCCTCAATCACTGTACTAAACCCCAAACACCCTCTCATTACTTGCTTTTGACACCGGAACAACTCTTTTTTAAAGATTCTTCTTATTATTTTTTATTGGAAAGGTGGATATACAGAGAGGAGAGACAGAGAAGAAGATCTTCTGTCCGATGATTCACTCTCCAAGTGAGCGCAATGGTCAATGCCATGCCGATCTGAAGCCAGGAGCCTCTTCCGGGTCTCCCACGCAGGGGCAGGGTCCCAAAGCTTTGGGCCATCCTTGACTGCTTTCCCAGGCCACAGGCAGGGAGCTGGATGCGAAGTGGAGCTGCCAGGATTAGAACCAGCGCTCATATAGGATCCCAGGCGTGCAAGGCGAGGAGGACCTTAACCACTTGCGCCACCGCGCCGAGCCCAACTCACTTGTGTCTGAATTCAACACTAGGGAACATTCTAAAGTTTTGCAACTACATTTGTTGCGCCTTTGCAGAATTCTCCATTCACTTTGGGCAAAAGCTCGGAAGCCCTACTTGCCAATCTTATTTCATCATTCCAAATACAATGCCAGAAACAAGAACTCAAAGTCTAAAGTGTATAGGTAACAGATACAGCCTTTGGTTAGGAATTGTTCAGCAACACACTCAACCCAAGACATTCATCCAATTAGACTGCAAACACATGAAGCTAAAATTACAAAGTTTATTAACAATTATGTAGTCTGAGTTCTTACACAAGCGCAAGTGCCACACTACTCATCCCTTTCACAACACACAGGGTTTTCCCTAGTGGAAGCAAACATACCACCCACAAATTCGGGAAACACTTCTCTCCAAGTTATGAACAAAGTTATATGCAGAATATAGACGAAGATATTACAATCATTAACTGATACCGGTGGAAATGAGAGAACCAATAAATGTAAAATAAGTTCCACATTCAATATCAGCAATTCTAAACCCCATATGAATTTATGAAAATATATGCAGTTGGACCCAGCACAATGGCTCAGGAGCTAAATTCTCACCTTGCACACACTGTGATACCATAAAAAATATATAGACAGTGAATCAAATCAATCCAGTTTCCTTTATGAAGCTTAAAGGTCTTTTTCATCTCATGATTACACTAACACCACCAGTATTTCTAGCATATTAGGGCTACACGCAGTTTCTCTACTTCACAGATGAGACTCAGAGGCTGAACAAGAGGCGTGCACAGTGAAATCTAAGCTGTCATTCGTGTTTCAACTCTTTAGATTGCACTAGCACAACATAATACACCATGAGCCAATTTGTTCTCTAAAGTCCAAAAAGGAGAGAAACTGTTCACCACTATAAAGTCCAAATGATCTAAAGGTAAGGACACAATTGGCATATATCACTCTCCAAGCACAGAGCAATCAGCCAATATTTTGTAAGTGAAATTTCAATTAAAAAGATAATTCAAAGTGGTTCTTCCAGGATAGTGTTTAGAAATGATCAGAGTGGCCCAGTATTTGACACATTGTGGGTAAATTTCCTACAATACAGCCGCTAACAAAACTACACTGTCCCAAACTGGTACTACAATTGTTTACCTTTATGCTCAGAAAGCACCAAAATCTGCATGTGGTGTGTGCCCAAGCAGACTTTGAGAGAGTCATGCAGTGAGATCAACTGATAAGACTATGTAAAACAAAAACATATCAGCAGAGCCTATGGTTGTTCCATGTGTGTTCAACATGTCTGTGATGGGAAAGACTGCTGGCACACTTTTCTATTAAGGAGCAGAAAATGGTTGTAAAAGTATTGAAGGCAGAAGCACAGAGTCAGGGCAACATTTTAAAGTAATGAAACTTCTGAGAAATTAAGAACAAAGTAAGTCAGAGTGGATTTTAAGGTGGACTTTATTTCAAACACCAATAACTTGTTCACAACCAACCCAATTCTAAAAACTTCTATAATTAAAACTGATGGCAAAGTGTCACCAAAAATGATGAAGTCAGTTATAGATGCTTGAGTTTTTTAATCAAGAATATCCTAGCATTACCTTCCAGTTGATTGTAGATACGACAACCAACAATATTAATGGAATTAAATCAAATTTTGGAAACTAAGACACAACTTATCAAGGCACTGAATAATTTTGTATTTCTGGAATGATCTATCTAGACCATATCTTATATTTATCTATTCATCATGTTCTAATATATTTCCCAGACTTAACTAATAACAGGGATTTTTTTCTTCATGTACCAATCTTCAGATATCTATAGTCTTAAGACACCAGCACTTAATCTATATAATACATCCCAGTTTTTGTTTAGAAAATTCATTTTTGTTGTGATTCTATAATGTAATAACTGAAATAATTTAAATATGGGGTCAGTGTTACTAATACATACAATTTAATTATGTAATACACTAAAGCTTAAAATTTGAAGATAAACCATTTTTGATGTTCCATATGTAATATTCTACTCAGAATTTAATTCAAATTACTAACATGAATTACAAGTATTATTCTCCAAGGGTATATACTACTAAATTTGTCCACATGTCATCTGCAATTTTCAAAACACCTTTCTATGGCAAAATTTTAAACATCTGTAAGAATACTTGTTTGGAGAATGGTTAATATGACATTTGACCTTTTGCTGTACACACCACAAAATTTAAGTCTCAAACACCACATTGACAGGAAATCTCATCATTCCTGCAGTAGTCATCTGCATTGTTCAATATCAAGTATTAATTCAAACTTATACTAAAATCATGTGGCATAATTATAGACGCTGCAGAAAAATATTTGTAATTCGCCACTGTTTCAATGTATTTCTTATGGAACATCTGGCCTTGAAACTTTAGCATTTCCACTGAAAAAGTACTTAGTGTCTGGATTTTTCTGTCCTTTCAATATGGAACACTACATGGGTGGTATAACCAAATCCAGACTTTAAAAAAAAATGCCACTAACAGATGATTAAGACCAACTTAACTATTACCAGGTACAAATGTAAACTACATTATTAAATCTTTTAAATATCAAGGTTGATAAAATAAATTTTCACAGGAACATAACACTGGTCTATTTCTTTTAGAAACTGTATTAGGTATGTTAAATGGATACTACTTGTACAAGTTTAGAATCAAAAATTTTCACAAATAGAAAAAAGATGCATGCTTAAATTAGCAAACAATTTTAACAGTTCATAAATAATCCTAATTTCACAGCAATTGAAATTATATTTAGGATATACTAACTGCTTTGTTATGAAAGGAGTCATTTTAACATTAATCAACTTCATTCTACACAGCCTTCTTTAAACTCAGACTTAAGTATTAAATACTAAGGTAGAATATAAAGGAATGAAAGACATTTTTCTGCAACGTAACAATGAAAACATCTTCACAAAATGCTACTGTCCTGACTTATTTGCTTTCCAGATCAGACAAACTGTGAAGTAAGTTCCTTAAAGCCATGACAACACATCTGCAAAGTAATTCACAAAAAGTGTAAAATGGAACTCATGACGGCCAGCAGCTAATCCTCACCTTGCATCCACTGGGATCCCATATGGGCACCAGTTCGTGACTCAGCTATTATACTGTCTATCCAGCTCCCTGCTTGTTGCCAGGAAGAGTAGAGGACAGCCCAAACCTTGGGACTCCACACCTAGGTGAGAAACCCAGAAGCTCCTGGCTTTGGATTGGCTCAGCTCATCATTACAGTCACTTGGGGGCAAACTAGTGGATGGAAGATCTTTCTGTCCCATTTCTCCATAAATCTGACCTGCTTTTCCAATAGAAATAAATCTTTTAAAAAATTTTTTAATTTTTCAGATTTTGATTCTAAAACATCAAAAACAATGAAATTTGATGTAAAAGCAAATACGTTTTCATTTTTCTGAAACTTAGCATACAAATATTTTTATATAGCTATGCCACATAAATAAAATTTTCAAAAAATCAAAACTTTCAATGTAAAAACTGGATTCAGGGCTGGCATAGGGACACTGCAGGTTAATCCTCAACCCACAACATCAGCATCCCATATGGGCATCAGTTCAAGTCCTGGTTTCCACTTCCCAACTCAGCTTCCTGCTAATAGTCTGGGAAAGCAGCCGAGAATGGCTCAAGTGCTTAGGCTCTTGTACTCACATGGGAGACGTAGAAAAAGCTTCTGGCTCCCAGCTCAGACTGATCCAGCTCTGGTCATTATAGCCATGTAGGCAGTGAACCAAAAACTCTCTCCCTCTCTCTTTCTCTATAACTGACTTTGAAGCTAAACTTTAGAATCTTAAATTTAAAAAAAAAAAAAAAAAAAACTGGACTCAATCTACTTACAGTGTAGATAGTTAATAAGCAATCTATATGACCCGCAAAGGAATATAATCAATTAAGTATAATTAATCTGAAAACCTCCTACAGATGCTTTACATAAATTTAAAACACATTTTTGCAAACAGCTATGTATAAGATAGTGGGTTAAGACACTAATTGCAACACAAGCATCCTACATGGGTGCTGGTTACTGTCCCACCTACCCCACCTCAGATCCTGCTCCCTACTAAAGGCCTGGGGAAAACAGCAGCAGATGGCACAACTGTTTGAACCTGTACTACCCACATGGGAAATCCATAGGAAGCTCCTGAATTCTGCCATGCTGCTACAGCCAGTAGGGAATGAGTAAGCGGATAAAGATTTTTCTGTAACTCTTTTAGGTGTTAATCTTTAAAATAAAGCACACATACAAGTATTAAGTAATTGCTGACATATTCTAAAATTTAAACACCAAATATTAATAACCATTAAAATTGGTCAACAGAAACAACTGGGTTCACTATTTCTTACCTGCATTCCATCTTTAAGTTTCAAAATGCATTCCATTGTATTGATGGTAATCACTACTGCTTCTGAACCCAGTTTTGTCCATGGTACATGAATCCTCAATTCATGAATATGTCCACTTAAAAACGTGAATGGTAGTTTCAGTTCCTTAAAACAAAACATGAAATAAAGTTAGTAAGTGCTTGATGTTTTTCATTCTTTTAAGACTTATTTATTGAAAGAAAGACAGAGAAACAGATCTTTGAAACACTGGTCATTCCCCAAGTCACCACAATAACCAAGTCTGGGCTAGGCCAAAAAGATAAGCCATTCAGGTCTCTCAACAGGACTCAGGGAATTTATCTTCCCCTATGTTTTCAGGTTCATTTGCAGGGAGCCAGATCAAAAGTAGAAGACCCAGGACTTAAACTAGCACTCCAATGCAGGAAGCCAGAGTCACAGGAGGGAAGCAATATACTCACACCAACTCCAGGCCCATATTTTTATCCTAATATCTATGTTCTTTCCTTAAATGAGCACAAAATTTCCAACTCCTTTTCAGAATCACTATCAAGGAGAATGAAGGGGCTGGCAGGTTAAGGGGCGTCCTAGAATGCCAGCATCCCAAACTAGAGTTGGATCGAGTTCCAGCTTCTCCACCTCTGATCCAGTTTGGAAAACGAGGAAAACGACCAAATACTCCTACACCCTCATGTGAGACCCACGTGAAGTTCAGGGCTCTTGGCTTCAACCTGGCCCAGGCCTGGCCATTGCTGTCACTTGGAAGTGAAGCAGAGGATGAGAAAAATTCTGTGTGCGTTTTTGTCCCCCTACTCTCCCTTCCATTGTCTGTAAAACTACCTTTCAAATAAAATGTTAGAACAAAAAAAAAAAAAAACTGAAAAAAATCAAGTCACTTTACAGTTAATTTAAAAAGTAGAAATTAAATGCGCAACTTATATTTAATGAATAAGTTACCTACGGTCTCTAGGCCTCAGTTTCTTACTGTGCTGCATGGAAATAATACACAATACCTGGGACTCAGGTATGGCACTTCTATGGTAATAGTGGCAGCCATCACCGCAGTGGATAATGGCAGTACTTAAATAATGTGCAATGATTTTTTAAAATCTGTACCTAAAACACATTTTGAAAATGACAATAAAATTAGCAGAACACAATTATGAGTTATGCTAGGAAGAGGTTATATAAGCAATAGGAGAATGACCTGACAAGATATGACTGATCAACATAAACATTCATATAGTTTTTCACTTAATTAAAAAATTTAACTGTGGGTAGTATTTAGCCTAGCAATTAAGACACTCACATTCTGGGCCAATGAGATGGCTCAAACACTTAATTCTCAGCCTGCAACACCAGCATCCCATATGGGTAACAGTACATGTCCAAGCTGTTCCACTTCCCATCGGATTACCTGCTAATGGCCTGGGAAAGCAATGGCGGATGGTCCAAAATCTTAAGACCCTGTACCCTCTTGGAAGACTCAGAAAAAAGCTCATGGTCCCTGGCTTCAGAGAGGTTCAGCTCCATCCATTTGGGGAGTGAACCAACAGATCGAAGAATCTGTGTCATCTCCTCTGTAAATCTGCCTTTCAAATTAAAATAGATAAATCCTTTAAAAAAAAAAATGAAAACATGCTCAACTGGAGTACCACAATTCTAGTAGAGGATGGGCTCTGAATTTCAACTTCTTGCTAACACTTTGCAAACAAGTGATGGCCCAAGCTTTTGTGGCTGTGTTTGCTATGTGAGACCTGAACTGAGTTCCTGGTTCCTGCCTTCTTCCCAGCATTTGAGAACTAGCCAAGTAAATGGAAGATCTTTGTGTCTATTTCTCAAATTAAAAAAAAATCATGTTGTACATCTACAGAAGCAATTATATACTTTCCCCACAAATTTTACTTGTTTTCTGACTGCTTCACATCATTATTAGACACAAATTTAGAAACAGAAACACAAATCTCACTTTATAATCATGCTTTACTTTCAGTTACAGTTCTTGTTACACCAAAGAATAAAATTCTACATGCATCACATCTCTAGTTATTTGTGAAAGTTAATACAGATACTGATTATTCAATCTTTTCAGCCCATCTAGTTTAGCAACATAATAATACAAGTAGAGCTAACTAAACAGTACTGCAAGGTGGTGATGATCATAATTCTGCAGCCTACCAACATGGATTTTAAATCCTATCTGCCATCTATGAATTCAATGACCCAGTACCTCAATTTCATCATTTGTACTTTAGTTTCATTTTCTGTAAAATTTAGAAAATTTCAAGGATTAAATCAACTCAATTATACAAAATGTTCAGAATGGCTTCCTCACAACGAAATTCTAGATGTTAAATGTTACTTCAGTTACAAGCACATGAGCCTAATTTGTCTAATCCATTTGTTTAAAGTAAATATTTTACTACATTAATTTTAAAGATGCAATGATTTCTGCAAATGGTTTTCAGCTTATAGGAATGATTCATACCTGCAACCAAAGCAATACATACTATGTACCGACTATGTAGCAGGCACTATCTAATCACCTTACTTGCATACAATTATCTAAGAACACAGAATATTCTCATTTGATAATAAAGAATCTGAGGCAAGAAAGATCAAGTAAGCTGCCAAAAATCTATCATTTGGGAGAGCCAAGAATACAAACTGAGAAAATGATGTTGAGCCCTTGTCCCTAACCTCTATTACACTGCCTCTATATTTCCATTACAAGAACCACACGGTTTCTACAAGCAAAGGATCTACTGGGACAAGGAGCAAATGACATGTATACTTTTATGCAACAATGATGCATTTTCAGAATAACTGTAAGCACTGCCTTCCCAGATCCTAGCTCTGGATTGATCCAGCCCCAATCTAGCAGAGCAAAGCCCCTTGCCAGTAAACCAGAAAATGTGAGATCTCTGTCCACTCACCTGAGTGTGTGTCTCTGCTTGCAAATGCAGTGGGTTTGTTTAAAAGGTACGTTTTTATTTGGAAGGCAAAGTTACATACAGCAAGAGGCATCTTACATCCAAATAGCCTCAATGATAAAGCCGAGCCCATCGGAAGCCAGGGATGAGGAGCTTCTTCCTGGTCTCCCACATGGGTACAGGGGCCCACGGACGTGAGTTGCCCCTACTGCTTTCCCAGGCTAAGCCTTGGCTCCAGTCTTCCACCCCAGCCCAGGGCTACTCCAAGCACAGAGATAGGAACCAGCAGCTGAAATCTCCAGCACATCTGTATGGCATGAACCATCTTGTCATAATTTTTTTAATTATGTAGTTTTTCAGAAGTATAACATATCAAATACATCACTAAACTCAAAATAAGCTATTACAAAATATTCTAACATAGTGCAAGCATGTTAGTACAGTGAGTTAAGCTGCCACCTGTGATGCTACCAGCATGCCTTATGCGCACTGGTTCAAGTCCCAAATGCTCCACTCCTGATCCAGCTTTGATAATGTGCCTGTAAAGGCACTAGAAGATGCTCCTAGTGCTTGGGCCACCACCTCCCACATAGAGACCTGTATAGAGCTCCTTGGCTCCTGGCATTGGCCTGGGCTAACCCAGCCTTTTTGGAAATAAATCAGCAGATGGTAGAAACACTTTTTTTCTCCCTCCCCTTCCCGACTGCCTCTGCCTCTCAAATGTTATAAAATCTAACACGAAGGTTAGGCATTTGACGCAGAGGTAAAGCTGCTGCTCAGGACACCTGCATCTCCTATAGAAGTACCTAATAGAGATCCACTTCTCCAATTCCAGTCCAGCTTCCTGCTATCGTGGCAGCTGGTAAGAACCTGGATGGAGTTTCATGATCTAGGCTTCACCCTGAATCGGTCCTATTGTAGGCATTTGCACAATAAACCAGCAGATGGAATCTCTCTCTGCATTTCAAATAAAAATGTACTAAAATATTCTGACATGGAAAAAGTAGAAAATTAAAAAACAAATTCAAGTGTCAATAAAAGGTAAAGTAGACAAATGGGACTACAACTTAACTTCTACATAGTAAAAGAAGCTATCAGAGTGAAAGGCAACCTATGAAAAGGAAATAAATTTGCAAAACACATTTTTGCTAAAGTATTAGTATCTAGGACACATAAAGAGCTCCCATGTTAAACAGCAATTTTAACAAAGGACTTCTACAGATAGTTTTCCAAAATACACATCTGGCCAAAAAGTATATGAAAAGATACTCAACATCACTAGTCAATGAAAAATACAAATCAAAACCACAATAACACATCTTCTTATACCAGTTAGGATAACTACTATAATTTTTAATTGGGATAGGCTGGGTTAGACCAAATACATGCTGGCATGAGCAAAAACCAGGGCTGTGGTAGGTCTGAAGGGGGTTACTGAGAGTCAGTCTGAATAGGTCATGGCACCTGCTGGTTTGCATAAAGATTGGGCCTGTGGCAGGCTGGGCTGGGCTAAGCCACAGCACCCATCATCAGTTCATGTGAGAGAGATTGTGCTGGGGGTGAAACTAACCAAGCATCTGCACCCACGTGTATGGGTGTTGGCTGAACCCAGCCTCATCCTGCACTAGCTGGTGCACACAAGAGTGAAGTCTGAGATCACCCCAGGCAAGGTTTCTTAGGGACTCCAACTGGATCGCTGGACTCAAACCCAAGACACAAGGAAAATTACATAGATATATGGTCCAATCTTGCAATGCATGTATTGGGACTGTGTCTGCACAGCTGCTGATGCCAGTGCAGGGGACAACTATGCCCAGATGTAAAAGTGGGACACGATAGCCAGCTCAGCTAGCCCAGCAGAGGACATCAAGAGCCTGTCAGAGGATGGAAAGAATAACAGGTTGGACAGTTCTCCTGGCCAAGCTTTGCAGCAGGTAACTATGAATCTGTGTTAAGATTTGTCTCAGCCCTGGTGCACTGAGTCCAACAGCATGTCATAACTATCAAAATCACTTGGGTATCCTCAGAACATTCTTCTCCATATCAAGGTCTCTGGAGTATCAAATGTCCCACATCCTCGAGTGCTGTGTAGTTTGAAAGGAAGACCCTCTCTCCTTCCCACTCTACGCACACAGAAAGAAAAAGAACACCCACCTTCCTCCATCCCTGGACACTCCCCACTCTAATCTGAGGCCCACATGGGCATGCATACTC